AACAATCAATACCTGCTCCCAAGAGAAGATAACTCTGCAATACCAAGACGGAATAGTGCGTGTCAAGTCAGGACCAAGGCATGCAACAACTTATCTTAACAAATAAAATGGGAGTACGCTAAACATTTTTTTCCAAACTTAGTGGGACAATAGGGGCTTCTAACGGTTGTCACATTTTTCGAGGCGGTAGGAGAAGCTTCAAAATGACGCTGAGCCAACTGCGTTCATAGCCCTTTTAACGCAATTTGTTATGGTTATGCCTATTAGAGGAACTTACAATGGAATATAACGTTCTGTACGTCGGTATCGTTTAAGTTGTGGCAATAACAGGTCTTGGGGAGAGTACTGTCCATATCGATTCTTCAAGCCAAGCATTGAAGCACAATGACCAAATACATTTATTGAATGAACCAACGAATGAATCATACTTAATATGCTTTCAATGTGTATAAGTAATAGAGAACAGTAAACAATGCTATACATCAAAAAATAGAGATTCCATGGATAATGTTTTTGTGGATCGATGGTAAAACAATGGACCCTCCATGAGTTTTCCGTTATATAAATAGTGCATCAATCAATCCCTGGTAGTTGCCACTTTGTCAGTTTGGTGTTGACTTCGACTTCTAATATACGTCAAACCTCCATTCGTTAGTACACACTAGAGCACCAGACGATAGTGTACTAAGGCGATGTCATGGCAGCTATGATGTATTGTGACAATACTGAAATTAGACTTTCATTGAAATTCTGGCCGTGCGATACAACACACCACTCGAACCCTGATCATAGAAATATAAGTATGCATTAGCAAGCTTAATTGGAGTGTACTCAGTGGACTAATGGATTTCTATAGTCCAAGTATATAAAATCTTATGATGAGTTTTTTTTGTTCAAATCTGACGTGATGGCTTTCGACAGAGCATTGTACGTACATATGACCTGTTGCTAACATGTCGGTACCGATTTGTGTAGCTAGACGTGCATCAAATACGGGTGCAATGAGGCTATATTCACTAATCGAAAACATCTTACTACAGATGAACGCTACATTAGACATTATACTTGTCATTTGTATCAGATATCCATCCCCCCGCCTCAAAAACAATTATCATTGCGAGAAAAAAGGAATTATTTTTATCAGTGTGTGTATTCTGGTGTACATTTCAAACGAGTCAATTAACATTCATAAATATTCATACACACGATTCTCAATTTAGAACTCTTCTGGATAGAAAGTGTCTGTTACACTTGGAGTTAGCATACTGGACGTGTACACCTTCAATTCAAACGAATTCCCAATGAACAAGGATGTAAATCACAGGATATTTCATGTAAAGTAATTCAGATTTTGTCACTGAATTGATAACATATTTAAAAACTTAATAACTTAATAACGTTAATGTAAATCTAAATAATAAGAAAATGTCAATTTAGAAAAATAGGGGAGATAACTCTTACACACTATGTCAGAAAGCATATACCAATAACTCCAACACAAGACCTAGCAGACACATAATTGTAACCTTAACTATAATACAATTGTATGTGAAAGGTAGTATATAACTTAACTCTTAAACAGATCAAAGGTACTATGTATTAGGAGATGGTGGTGTGTATCACCTTACTTAATATATTATTGCAAATGATATTTCATTACCCAGATAATGAAAGCTTAATTTTGATTTTAATTACATCGCTGTGGGAAATTGTCGTTACATGTCGAATCGGGCTGCAAGGCCATATATTCATGTCCTACCGAGTGACTTTCTATTAATTTTTAAATAGATATATCAAAGAGACCGATATAAAAATGTAAATGAGTAACAATATACTGTTCATTTAAGTGTAATGAATATTTATTGATTTGACAAGGTTATACGAGGTTTTATTAGCTTTATCACAAAGTAAGTTAAAATGTTAAATTAAGGAATTATAAAAAAAAAAATAGAAAAAAACCTGAAAACGAAATTTTCATTTTCTATGGCTAAAAGCGATTGCTAAGGATAATATATACACAAATATTTATATATCTGCACGTGCTATTGAAAAGGGGATTCAAACGCTTGATTAAATGTGTCGTTTAACTAAATCAAACTTGATTCAAACGTAACTGTAAGCTGGACTCCGTGTACAGTGTGTTTGATATATAGGTAAATGTAAATATAATCCTGAAATTAAATACTCAATCGATATTTCAAGATAATGAGGGTGTCTCTATGTTAAATATACCAGTGTGAAACCGTTGGTGGCTCAATTCAAATGATATTCAATCAGCTTATCCAGAGCTGATAGCGTTACAGGTGTATTAAACAGGTCAATAGTGCTGCCAGTTTACCTGTGCGTAAAAGACAATAGAGGAATTCAGGCGACTGTATTTATTCAGAAACATCTGTATATATTATCATACCAAAGAGTACACATACTATAAGAATGGGTTAAATCGCATTGAAACCTCTGCCTTCATTAGCGTGTAAATGTAGATCTCGTATACTGAGGCCAACTCCATGTAAGCTAAGATACAAACTCATGTAAATGGCACAACTGACCAGAGAATAATAAAGTAGGATTCTGGCAACAGTTGCGGAATAAAATGTGGACAAATCATAATACAATCTGGTGTGTCATATTGCAAATCTCAATACCGTGTTGATCTTAAAACCAATAGGGTACACACATAATTCATATAGCTCATTACAGGTGTGAGGACAGGAAACACAGAACAGGTAACAATACCTATGTACAGGTGTGCCAAAAGTCTGCGTTACTGCAGACACACTCGTCCAGTAGTAGTCTACATAATCCATACCTTATGAACATTAAATCCACCGAATATGTCTCACAATTGTTTAATATATCACCGCTACTAAGCGACAACGTGTTTCTATGAATACGGGTTATATACCTCCAAAAACCCACTTCCGCCCTTCTTAAATTTCCTATCGCACAATCGATGATATTGAGGAAGAATAAAGCATAACGTATCACATATTTGCATACACAATCCATTTCTTTTATATAAGATTTGTGACTATTTTTCTAACACTATTATATGTGCATGTTATACACCTGTTGGTTACTGTCGTATAAAGAATTCATGGCGTCACAACGGCTTCAGTGACGTCATTCTTCTCGTCCCTCGGGGTAGCCACATCTTTATCCTTCCCCTCTCTCGGGACATCCGTGTTTGAAGAGGGATCCTGTGTGTTCATTTCTGTCCGGGGAACATTTATGGTGGAAAGTACTTCGCCGTTCAATGTTTTAGGAGCACGTGTGGAGCGCGTGCTTTTGAAACTACTTTTATTACTGGGAAAACCAACACTTCCATCCATTCCATGGGTAAGGGTTGACCTTGACCGCGTACCCAAGTTCAAGCGCGCCGTGGTGATGGATTCGAGTTTACTATTAGATCCGCTGTCAATATTAGGCAGAATCAGCGGGGCGAAATGGTCATTTCGGGGACTATTGTAGAGGTCAAGCTGTACTTGTCCATTGATTCTTTGAGATGCTAAATGTTTGGCCCTATTGAATAGTTTTTCGGCATACTGAGGCATCGCTGTGTGTTGTGGTGTCTTTTCAACCTTTGGTTGGTGTTTTACGTGGTGCCGGTAATGCGTGCGGCCAAGGTCAAACCGAGACTGGTGTTTCATGACCTTTCTGGCGGGGAAGTGTTTGTAACCTTTGTCAAAAACCTGGTGCGGTGATCTACTTCCGGGGGATTGGGATGGCGAGTTCGAGTCGCTATGGTCTAGACTCTCCTCATCAGGAAAACCATGATATGTTTTTTGTCTTCTTGTCATAAAGTTTGTACGATAAAATTCAACCTCTCTGGCTTTTCTGTTTTCTGAATCCAAAAGACAGCACTTTTCAGTGAGTTTGTTGGACAAATCAGTAACTTCTTGTTCTCTGCAGCGTTGATTCATATCAGTCAACATTTGTTGTTGTTTGCCAAGTCTCCGCCGCTCGAAGCTGTTTGAGAGTTCCATGATGGCGACTTTCTCTGGAGTTGGAAGCCTCAATTTATGGTCTCTGTAGGTCGATGTGTATCCCATAGTTTTAAGATTGTCTCGTGTAGGGTCCGTCAGAAACGGGGGTCGAGGTTCGAATTCCTCTAAACACACAGTGGATGTAAACAGTCTCATTGTGACGTCTTCCGATCTCACTTATCGCAGATTTCGTACACACACGTATCAAACAATAGTCACGTACCTTAAGTCATGCTGTAATTATCCCACTGTCATGTAAGGAACGTCCAAAGTGTGTTTATTTCACACCATAGTCCAGAGGAATACCACACAACTAAAGCAGCTTGATTACCGTCCGTTTCCTTAACTCTCGTGTATTCCTTTGGGTGACCGCTCTGTATCGCCACCTTCCTCCGCCATTTAACACGCTCTGCAGATTTCTAATTTGAACGTCAGCGTGTTTGTAACCAAGCGAAATTTAAATCCCAGAGAAATATGAGCGATTACCTGTCTTAAAGAAACATTTTAATACCGACAACAAGTGTTGGTTTTACGATTAGCCCTCCGTCAAGGTTCACCGTCAGCCTGGGTATATATGCATTCTCTACTTACTTACAACGGCATACTCTGCGGTATATAAGGCTATTGTTCGTATTTCTCTCTATCACTATTGAGTATATCTTCTGGAAGTCGGCGAAGCCTGACATGTATTATGTTTCCTTATCGAACCCGACCTATACACAAGTCCACTGACAAACCACTGTAAGTCTGCACTGCGCAAGACAAAAAAACTAACTGGCACAGGTTGATCCAACCCGGGATATTAATAATCAATCATATAGCTTAAGATTTTAAAAGGGGGGTATTTATTATAAGCCAATATTTTGGCAAGCATGTATCGGAGCGGGGAAGGTTTGTAAAGTAACGTCACAGAGCTTGAGTAGATCAATAATATTATGACGGGTAACCTGTTAGTTCTACCACAAGTATAGGTAATGGAATGCGTCGTTTAAATGGGAAAGTGCTGTATTACCTGTTAGGTCTCACCCAAGTAGTACCGTTATATACCTAAGATACACATAAGTTTACATTCACACGACGAGTCTGACCCTAAACAGGCCGCCTCCAATCAGTGAATGGTATAATTGCCCCTCTTGAGGAAACCACACGAGACCTCTATCTGGGAACTTGTATTCACTTTCTTTTTTTAGGGACATACTCTGAGAGGGGGGTCATAAACATGTATCTATGTACATTGCAGTTTCTACTCATACTTAACGCCCAGCAATTTAGGAGTGGGACGACTGGTTCGCCCGTT